TAATAGACGCGGGCGGTGACCAGTTTACAAAATAGTTTAAGATATGTGTCTATCTTATTTACAGTTAGTTTTAGAACCACAGTTATTTGCAGATGCGATACCCAGACTGAACGGGATTTATATACAGGAATGAAATGGGGACGCCATTTTATGGCTATACATCTCTCTCTATGAAAATTCTTCATCATTATCTATGGAAATTCGATATTCCTCTGATTTTGCTAAGTGGTTTTGTTAAAAGTCGTATACATATTCCTTTTTAAGCCACCAAACATTGCAATACATTTTTCGAGATAAATAAATCAGTCCTGATAATAGTTATGTCAATTAAAATATATCAACAACCGAAATTGCAGCAAAATTACCATAAAAATAACATATTTTTAAGAAAACTAGATTTACCGGGTTGAAAACATATTTGATTTTAAGTATTTAATGGATTTTAATATTAATATATGCATCTAATTACATATGTTGTATAATTAGACTTTTTAGAGAGAAGTATTGAGTAAAGTAGTGTATTAATAAAGGGGTTATTGTGAAACATGGGATAACAAAGGAACTAGGAAGTCCTAAAGAAGGGTCCTTCACTCTACTTGTTCCATTAAAAGAGTTGTGTCATATGGATCAAGCTTTTCATCTTTACAAGAGAATGATTTATGCCGAGAGCCAATTTACTATGGGAATTTTTTAAAGTTAACAAAGTCAGGCTAAAAACAAAATGTATTATTCCAATACATTCCAACCGCTTATACAAATTACGTAGTTAAACCAAGAAAATTTAAATTCAATGAGTTATTTGGCATTACAAAGAACGCATTTAAGGGCACGTTCATAAAAACAGAAGCGAGTTTTACATTAATTGATAACATTATAAAAATTTTGTTTTAAATGTGAATATATGCTTAAATAAAGGTGTTAAGTAATTACATACAATAAAATAAATGCTTTTATTATATATTACTGAGTAATAAAGTTTGAGGTTTTACTTCACCTGATTATTCCTGATTCTGGAACAGTTATTTAGGGTCAGTTGTTTCGGGAGCGTTTAACTGGTACATTATTATATTGAATACAAGCACGATATTGTATTTATAGGACGTTAATCGATGGCCCGGTAACTGGTTAAATGGCGAAAACTACCCGATTAATATGATAATGGGATGACAAACCGGTTAAAGATCGTAAACCTTCGTGATACGAAAATTCGTGGCGGCTACGCACCTCACTAGCCTTGAACCCCATCAAGGACACGCTAACATTCGCTGTCCATACTCCATACCACGTAACGCCGACCGAAAATATTTACTATACCTGCTATCTTTTTTAATTAAGACGCGTAAATTATGTATCAAAACAACGTGTTCAAGTTTTTTATCGTGCACATTATTCTTAAGTGGACGTTGTTAAAGAACGAATTTGTATATAGATAATAGGAATGTATGATGTTTGTTTAGCGAAATAAATTAGAGCGTCATTTTATTTGAATGCCGCGTCCCCGTCTCGTCTGAAGGTTAGGCGAAGGGAAGCAGACGTATGTGTAGTGTTATAGTGACACATATCCGATGTGGCGAGACGATCGAACCGGGCGGCCTTCGGGAAGCAAAACGAAAACAGAGTCCACACTCGCCGGCCCGCGCAAGATGTATATAAACAGCATGGTACTTTGATCGAGATGCGTACAGATTGTCTCGAGAGTAATTAACGGATACGAGCAGAGAATTAAACAGTCTCGTTATGTCCGTTAAAATGTTTTCGGAGATGCCACACTTATATCTTCCATCATTACCAATGCCGACACTGAAATCTGTCGTTTTCGTTCCTACTAAATTGAGCTTTTTGTTGACCCTCTCAACGTTAATTATGACTGATGGTTGTTTAATATATTATTGTTTTTAACTACACGTTTCAGTTATGAGAAAAAAGGGGTAATGTTGCGAATTAATTTGAAATATAATGTTAATGGCGTGGATGGAAGTGTTCGAGAAATGATCTGAGAATATATGATTGTCAGTGTTGCAACAAAAATGTATGGAGCATCGAGAGTGCATCACAATCAATCAGATGAACTGTGTAACCTGGCCTCGATAAATACGGAAGAGATGTAGAATCGTCTTGTTAACTATGCGCATCATTAACTCTTAAAGTTATTCATATTTTTTTTATATATAATTCTCTACAACATGATTTTTAATACTGCCATCAAATCAGTTCTTTTTTTGGATACAATACTGTTTTTTAAATTTCGTTATGATATCAGTAAATCTAATTATTTCTTACTGTCGAGATTATTACTGAATTTTCGAAGTTATTTAATAATACTTCGTTATTTTTTGAATTACCTTATCTTTCCATGAACTGCATTTTTAAGCAAGTCTGAAAAGCTATTTTTTTCAGTTTTTTAAAGTTCTATATACGTATTTGCAAGGTAGGTACATGATTTATTTATTTTTCTAATTCCATTGTTTAGTTTTGTTATTTTAAGAAGTGTCTTTAGTCTTCGATTATTTGAAGTCTTTTATTTTGAATGTGTGTGGGTCTTTAAAAATACCATTTACATTATAAATGTTTTGTTTATATTTTTCATCTCGCACTTCAACTATTAAGTCATCTTATTTCTTTTTTGGATATAAACTTTACTAGATTAGGAATTATTTATTGTTCTTTTTTTTTATAAACGGACTTATTAAAAAGTGATAATATCATAATTAAATTGTGAGAAAAACTCTTATATGTCTAAATAAATCAATAAAATTATATATATAAAAGAGCATTCCAGTAATAACAAATATTTTTATAATGGTATATAATTAACTAATTTATTATATGGATTCCACGAAAACCTCGTTGCCAAAAGGGCCATTCATGTGTGTTTATTTTAATGCCTTACTTTTAGGCTGTCGCTCTGGAATGGTGGACTTAGTCGTAGGTAACCAGTTTCGGGTTGAGTTTTATTATAATTCGTTATCTACACAGAATGCAAACAAGAAGCGCCCAATTTTACGAGGTTTTTGACCTAGGCATCTTCGCTCCGACTCCAACTATTTAGATAAAAATATCAGTTACATTTGTAAGAAACAGCTATTCGGCGATAACCCGTTGAAACTATAATATTTTTAAGGAAAACATTTGTAGAATCATCTAGAATGATTGCCATATACGTACTTTGAACATTTATTTACCCTTATTTAGTTTAAACTGGTCCGTTACTGCTATAACAGTTATTTTCAAGTGACTGTCAACACCACACCCTTATGTCAACATGACAATTAGTTTAAATAACTGCAGTATTTGTACTATATATGTAAATATAATATTTTTTATCTTTATTTGAATAATTACATGTTTGCGGTCGGTGACATCTTAGTTGGATGTATCTGTAATGTAATGATTTCGGTATAATGTAATACTGCTTTCTGTCTAGGGCCTGCCTTTGATTAGTTTCAATAAAATGTCATTGTCGTAATCATTGACACCATAAGTTCAATCGATCTTCAATGGACCCTTGCTCGTAAACTAGGCACTTGATTTGCTAGAGTAACTTTTAAAATAATACTGTTTACTTTGCTTACAACTTATTTTCTTTGATTGTTTTTTTGTTTTTTACGCATTATGGCAACATTGCAATTATGTCTGACAAGTAATATCTTTTTAATTTTTATTATATGTTTATACTTAACGTTTCATAAACTATTGCATAATGAATATTAATTAAAATATTAATTTCTGGTAGCATTAAACTTTAATCCTGATGGAGTTACTTCAATTTAATAGAAATTGAATGTTCGTTTAGAATTTAGATAATATGATCAATTCATTTGGTGTTACATGTATTAAAAACATCTCGATCTATATACTTTTCTAATTATTTTCATCATTTATTGCATTTATTGCAATATAAGTATTACAACGTATTTGTATTCCTTAAAAAGATATGATGTACGTGACTGCGCAAGCGCACTTAAATATTTCGGCGAGTTTATTTAAATACGTATTGTTGGCGTGTTTCCTGTTTAAAGCCATTGAAGGGTTTACATTGACCTTGGAAGGGCAGTATCCTTGTTTAAAGATTATTATCTGACCTTCAAAGCCCTATAAGTTAGGATAGGTAATAAATTTAAAGGGAACATGTAGATAATAAAGATAATACTTAAAAAATCGGTGGTCTAAATTCGCACATAATTTTGGTAAAACTTTTATAATTTTTAATATGTGTTTTATCTATAACAGATCATTTGATAGATAGGATAAACTGTTTTGTTTGTTGAAATGAGTACATACTTGAAATAAATTATATTAAGTGTCTCGAGTGCTTATGATATGTATTAAATATTTAATACTTATAATTCGGCTTTGGATATCAAATTGCTGTTATTAGGCTATTACTTAATGGTTAATATAATGTATTAAATTATATATGTATTATTTGTGCCTAATTTGAATTCAAAAATTCAAATACGTCCTTTGCGTGATCGTTTTCCATTTAATAAAAAAATCTTTGTGTATAGTCGTAAGATAGTTATGCATTTAATATAAATGTGGCAATAGTAACTTTCTTTAATATATACATATATTAAAGAAAGTTACTATTATACATACAGATTATTTATAACAGATTTAATAGAGCTTGACTGTTATATGGGCAAAGAATTGGCTATGGTATAACAATATTTAAATAATAAATACAAATTACAAAATAAACTGTCCCATTAAAAACGTAAAATTTTCTACTCTATCGATCTTATGGAATGATATGATTTCTCTTTTGCGAATTATCGAAGAATTAGACTGTTTTTATTGATTATATAGAGATCTAAGACTTTCGCGAGTATTCATTTAAATGAAACTAATATTTTCGGATTACTACTTATTAATAACAAAATACGCTTAGTAATCTGAAAATATTAGTTTCATTTAATATAAATTTATTATTACTCGCTTATTGTTCGAAAGGGGAAGATTTTTCTTGTTCTATATTTAAGGAAGCAATCAGAACTGAGATGAGGATAAGCTTACTGTATATAAGACGCAGACTTGGTCTACGTCTGTCTATTGTAACTATTGATCGCCTTGTGAGTAACACAAGTAAGGATGGTATACAAATGTTTTAAATCATTATTATATATCGATGTTATTTTATTGAAAAACAAAATTAATCGATAAAACTGTAAGTTTAAGCGCATCCTTATCATACGAGTAAATGAAGACGAATGATTTATTATATAGTAATTAAGTTCAAGTATCAATGATGATACGAGGTTTTTGTAAGGAACTGAATTATTTGGATTTCTTATCAAATTGATTACTCTCCTTGTACTCTCATTGTTATTGTCCTTCAACTTTAATTTCTATACAAGGTTGGTGAAATCGTAAAATGTTAATGGCAGTTTTATAACGAGACTGGTTATACAGGATGTCATTGCGATTAAAATTGTTTAAATATTCATACACGCTTCATCTCCTATCATTATTGCAACATGCTTTACATAATAAAGTGTGAGTTTGTTAGAAAAAGCTGTTTACCTCTTGAAAAAGTTGTTAGATTACATATTAAATATTGTATTTCATGATATCTCGGTTCAAATTACAAAACAACTAATTTCTTTTTATTATAGTGTAGAATATTTTTTGGACAATATACATATTTCTTTGATATAATTTATTATACAAATACAGGCAAGCTATTTATCTTTTGTAAACATGAGTAATGCTTAGGATTAAATTTTTGGCAAGTAAATATGTAATTATAATCTTCCACTACAAATATATATACGTAAATATATAAAGAGGAAGAAATACCTTAAAATAAATAAACAGGTTTTTCTGATCAATTTGATCTTTTTTCTTTATATACAATTTGGGCATGCTTGAAAATTAAACTATGGTCTAGACATTTTTAATCTAAGTCCACATCGAATTCTTAGACAGCGAATTTAATTTCTGTTCACGAACAGATACCAAAGGCTATTCAATTTAATAGTGATTGAATAATCAACGATTATTGTGTGATTTGATCGGTAAAATTTACAAGAACTATATTTTGATATAAATAAATTAACCTTAATATATTCTTTTTGAATAATGATTCAAGTATTAAATATGGAATTGGAATGTTTTAATTATGAAAACGCCATTACAATATAACTTTTTATAATTCGAAATAGGCCGTTTTTGCATTTGTAATTTATTTTCGATACATTTGTTAACAAAATAGCATTTGGGCATCTATAACTTTTGATTATGAATTATAAGAAATTATTATAATACTTTGATTATAATCAAAAAAAGTTTTATATGTACTAGAGAAAAAAGGTTCTATGAATGAATGACTGGCCTTTTCAATCAATACAAAGTTTGACAGAAAAAAAAAACAAGGCCAAGTTTCGGATGTAAAATAAGGAAAACAATAATCCAATTTAATTTGATTTGATATCCTTTTGATTCAATCAATACAAAATATTTACCCATAACAAATATAACTAGTGATTTAATTTTATCGATATGAAAATGTTGCCAGGTTATTCTGTTTTATCTGTATATTTTTAATCTGTAGTCAAAGTGCAAATGAAAGTTTATTATGAAAACGGTATATTTGATACCGTTAACTGAGATGAGAGGCTTGATAAATGATTATAATATGCGGTAAACCAGTCCCAGTCATCATCATTTGGTCCCGCTAAACGCCATGTCTTGAATGTGGGAAAAAATGTATATTAAGAAACAAATAATCTTTACGTTACGTAAGCAGTTACGCAAATCAATGTCAAGATCGCTGCATCAACAATCTACCACAAAGATCGGGGCCAACGACCTCGATAGCAAACATTGTTGAACATTGAGTAAAAAATAAAGCACTCATTCATAAACACTGATTTCACTTGTCGTACAAAACCAATACAAGTGCCGTGGAAACGGAGCATTAATTGAGACCATTGTTTATTTCAATAATATGTATATGATTATTAAAAACTATTATATTGTTGATTTGTTTTTTTGTTGTTGAGATTTAAGTGGCGATCGATCAAGAGTAATTTTGTTCTATTCTTTATAAAGACGATACAGTTTTGATTATCAAAGTTTGCTATTTGAATAAAATAGTAATTTAAAAAAAGAATGTTGTTGATTTAAAAAATAATTGTTATTAGAGCGCACCGCCGCCTCTCGTGGACTGGTCAGGGGTGCCGACGTTGATTTTGGCGTTGGTGGCGCTAGTTATGGCTGTGACAGCTCTACTTACGAAGACTGTAGACGGTAAAAGGCCCACCCGCTTACCTGGACCACCTGCTTTACCTTTCCTGGGATCGAGATGGTTATTCTGGAGCCGTTATAAGATGAACAAACTGCATGAAGCGTACGAAGGTGAGACAATTTGAACGATTTTTTTTTATATTTGTGATGTTTGTCTCAAGACTTAAACCTGTCAGCTCAATATAAAAAGGTTTAATACCAAATATATAATTTATTTATTACTTGTTTATGATAAACGATAATGCTTACGTATATAAGCATTTTATGTTTTTTCGAATTACGATTTATTTGCGCTGTAATAAATTTCAGCGAAATATAAGTTAAAAGTCACGATGTATTCTCTATAAGTATAAATTTTCTTTGAAAAATATATATGAAAGATGTTATCTAGTAAGTAAATCATAATTTTTTTGATTGTCTATAATAACAGTTCATATTTTTTATGATCTTGTTCATACAATTATTAAAAAAGTTAAATGTCACTCCTTATAACAGAATATATATTATAATTTTATGTCTTGAAATTTATGACAATATTAAAGTTTGACATTTTTTTATTTCAAAACAAAGTCAATCGATATTGAGGTTAAAAAAGACCCTATTATCTGTCCATAAAGTCAATATTTGAATGCCAATAGCAATATTAATAAAAAAAATATATATATCTATTTACTAATGACGTCAATATACGTTATTATTGGGGGCTGTCAAAGCCCTAGCCATCACAATGAGATATTTGCACGCAGACATGTTCAGGCGATACGGGCCGGTGTTTGCGGAGACAACGCCGGGAGGCGGACTACTAGTGTCCATCGCTGACAGGACAGCACTCGAAGCTGTGCTGAAGACACCAGCTCGAAGGCCATTTAGACCTCCGACTGAGATCGTCCAAGTGTATAGAAGAAGCCGACCTGATAGATATGCGTCTACAGGGATAGTTAATGAGTGAGATTTAATTTTGTACTTTAGATCCTACTGGTTGAAATTTTGCAAATAATTTTCGTATAACATATCTTCGTGGCCCCTACTATGTATTCTTTTTTATATATTTTTCCACCCAATAGCTTATTCTGTTATTGATTTTTCCATCCGCTATCTGATTATTTTAATTGTACTCTTACATATTATTGTCAATTTTGTAAGTTTTTAAGCCCGAAGCAAAAACGATGGGGTGTTATAAGTTTGACGTGTCTGTGTGTCACATACAAACATACACTCTGTATGTGTGTGTGTCAGTGTGTTTGTGTCTGTCTGAGACAACGTAGCTCCCAAACGGATGATACGATTTTAATGCGTTTTATAATCTGTATATTTGACGCGACACTATTTGCGCAACGTCCAGTAAGACGTTTCCCATTACTTTTCGTTTACCCTGATGTTATTGTTACTATTTTCTTTTATAATTTTCACTTCCTTTTACTTTTTTCGTTAAATATAACATTTCATATTATTTTAAACTTAAATTTTGATACGTGAATTTCTGGTTTATATAATAGATTGATAACGAATAAGCATTAATACTGCTGAATCATTTTCGAATTTATCTTCCCCTGCCAAGGTCACACAAAAGTACCATGTTCTAGTAATTAATCGATCGTGTTTTGTATATACTACCAAATAAGATACTTTTAAAGCTTCAAGAAACAAAAAAAAATACATATCATAGCGACTTAATTGAGACCAATAAAGATAATATACTAGTTTTAATAAAAAAATCCCAGTAGTTAGGTACATCACGTGGAATTATTTAAAGTATTTTTCCATTACATTTAAAAATTATAACCATATACAAAATTTAATTTATTCAGTATTCTAAATTAAATTATATGGAAAATAAATAATATTTCCATAGAAATAATATCTTTATTCCGTTGTTTTTATTTGTTTTAGAACATCCTTAAGAAATGTTTGTGGAAATTTAATTTTACAGCATAGCTTTCAGTGTCATAACAAACACGTTCTTACATTGATAAAAACTCTTTGAATCCTATTAAAGACGTCTAGAGTTCCGTGACAGGTGAAAGCTTGTACTATCCTTTATCTAAAAACTGGTAGTGTCTAAGAAATAAATACTAGTAGTTCAATGAACTATATAGAATAATTTTAAATAACCATAATTGTAAGCAATTCCGATCTAATAAAAACTTTATTTATAATCAATAATTTATTCATATAATATAGTATACAACATCATAATTTAAAATTATTATCCTAATTTGTGATATAATATATTCGTGATTTTAACGAGCGAATTCAGAATAATCTTTGTTTGTGATTGGTTAATACAAATATGGGGTCATAAACCTTTGGTAGTTGATGAAAATATAATAATTTAGTTATTTGATGATATCTTTTTAAACTATTCCAATCATATTACTTGACAGTATTATTGGCAGTTTATTTGGTAGAGGGAGGATAAAGTCGAGCTCGTTTTGGTAAAGGTTTAACTGTCTAGTCACGTAACTTCGAGCAGCGCAATTGTATCCAAAACTAGTTTTTATTTACTAAGTACTTCCTGTTCTGTCTCTTTGTTTGTGATATGCAAAAATAAGCTATTGTCTGCTAAATATCCGTGGCAATGATGTTACGTTTAAAAAAAATAGCTTGATTGATTTTATGTTATTTCAAAACGTAAATAATCTAGCCGATTGTGATATTAATAAAATTTATATAAATACCTTAATGCTAAGATAAAAATTTTATAAATTTTTCGAAAGTATGTAATTTATTTGTTTTCAACTCTGAAACCTTACAAAGATTATGCTTTTGTTTTTTCTTTCTTAAGTTTTTCATGCCATTCACAACCGGGTATTTCAATGCTATTGAGAAAAGGTGATGGAGACCTTGGTTTTTCAGTGACTTCATACCAAATAGTTGAAATTCCACATGAGCGTGAAATAATGTTAGTATTACTCCAGGCAGGGTGAAAAATGGCATCATCTTCGTCGTCATCTTACCTCAGAGCTGACAAGTCCTCAAACTATTCAAGGCTTCGTCCCTGAATTGAACAATATATGTGATGACTTCATAAATCTGCTGAGGAACTCTCGCCGGTCAGATGGTTCCGTAGTGGGATTCGATCAACTCACCAATCGAGTGGGTCTTGAATGTAAGTATAAACTGATGATGTTATGATTTTCATCTATTAATAAAGAAATTTTGTGTGGTCCACTCAGGCATCGACTTAAATATAAAAAATAATATGTAATGAAATCTAAGACTGTCGCGAGTATTTATTTAAATGAAACTAATGTTTTTCGGATGACTTCTAATATCGACGTCTTGGTTACTTTGCAGCAACTGTGATCACGGGCAGATGAGATGTTTCTAAAATAATAAAATACACGTAGTAAATAGTAAAAAAATAATTAGTTTCATTTAAATATAAGCAAAATTTTTATGTTTAACCCTAAAGAAAGCGATAAATATATCTTTAAAGTTTTCTTATTGCCGGAACTATAAATATCTAACCCGATAGATCATAATACAATGAATATGTACTTTAAAATCATTCCATACGCTATAATTATTCCAATTAATATTCTTAAAGTGAAAAACGTATAACCGATTAGCATAATATGACAAACGAATTTTTAATATATACGCATAATGTAGATACGCAATAAATATGGTGTTTGAATGGCAAGGAAACGGCAATGTTACGACATCGGTTCGCAAAAAGTGAATTATTAAGTCTGAACACATTTTATTTCATCAGCACGTGTTCGTAAAAATTATAAAACCAAAAAAAGTTTTTCATACGTACGCCTACTGTGTGCCCGGATGTAACCCATGGGTCTTTACCGATAATGCGGTCAAGTAAACAGAAAAAAAAAACATAAATCCTAATAGCTAAGATAAGTGCGTTGACTTTTAACGATATCTTAAAAGTTATGTCTATTGCCGTATATAAAATTATCAATGGCAGCGTCATATATATTTTTTGTGTACAAAAAATATTATAACAATAGGATAAGGATATAACATTTTAGTATGTACCCGTTTATGTGGAACTAAGATTTTCGGATAGTACGCGTTTTTTATGTGTCTTTCATTTCGTCTGCTCGTGGTCACGGTCGCTGAAAAGTAATCGAAACGTCTGGAACATGTAGAAATAAAATAATAATAAACTCATTATATACGGAACACTTAGTTTCATTAATTTATTGTAGGAAAAGAACATTAGTGTATATAGACGAAAATTATTTATATAATTTTTTTGGCATGCTTGAGGCCTGTGTTATCGTTGCCAAGCTATTTGTCAACTCAATTTAGATATTTAAATTTTAAATTACGGCAATGAATATTGAGTTACAAATAATAATCTATATATAAATATAACTAATTTCGTATGCCCATTTATAATTTGAGATATTTAAGAAGTGTATTGTCTGTGATTTTTAATTGCATTTAATTAGTTTTTATACGTAGTTTGCAATTTTATATAAAATATAATTTTCGATATATATTGAAAGAATTTATTAAAGAAATCCTTAGTGTAAAAAGTTTTATTTAGCCCTAGAATATGTGTAAAAACTAAAAGGCAATTGTGTAGTGTGAGATTTGTATATATATATTAAATCAAATGTGAATATCATTCTCAAACAAGATCAGCTAAGCAAAGTTTTTTCTTTGAAATTTGAATCACAGATAATAAATACACAAAAAAGTTGTTATTAAAAGATTGCTATATTAAGTGAACTATCAAGGCCGAGGTCGACTTTTTAGGATTACAACTAAACTTTTTGTTTCCAACAATGTACATCAAATGATCATAAAAAAATAAACGTGCTGAGAACGATCACTTAAATTTGATGCGAGTAGTGATTTTATCATTACATGCCTATATATTTCAATTAATGAAATATTAATTTATATTTGAATGGGTACCATAATAAAAAACAAAGTATTACATATAAAAACTCTTTTCGATTCTTTATCTATGGTCTTAAAAGATTCTGCTATTAAATATTCTTCAATATATGTATAAATACGACGTTAGCTTTTACTTAAAAACTATTTGAAACATATGATGAGGTATGTCAACTTAAATCAATATTTGTAAGCTAAAAAATACTCCACAATGATGCAATATGTCACATAAAAAAAAATTAGGATTACAGTACACAAAAGCTTCAGTCCTAATTTAAAATCAACATCTATTGCTTAAACCGTAAAAAATCATCCGTACAGACACTCCAAAGGATATAATAAATAAAAATTTTATACGACAATAAATCCATAAAAGTAACAAACGATACATATAAAGTTATTTTTGCGATTCGTTTTCGGTGTAGGATGTATTTATTGCATCATCACAGTTCAGATACTGACATCATTAATGAAATATGTTCTAATTTAGATAAATCAATCTGGGCCATGATAGTATAGATAGTGGATGCACATTAGAAATACATTATGAGGCATGGCATAACTAATAAAGTGGGCCGAGTTATCGTTAGGCGATGCCTTGACAGTATTGACGCGTCGGATTGCGGGCCTTGGGATCTATGTGGTGATATGCAGGTCGTTTGCGCTCTTTTTATAGCTATTTTGTATCAAATATGCACGACTAGATAACATTTATATTTTGCTTTTGATATACGACTGGTATGGAAGCATTATTGTTTTATTTTCAATGCTGCACGTATTCATATAATAATATTGTAGAATGATTAGTAAATGTATTTACTATTTAGATATATAGTTCAATGAAAACTTTAGTAGGTAACAGTGTTACCAGTTGTATCTGCGTTTTATATTTATATTATTAATTATTAAATATGGCAACATAACTATGGTTTTACTTGAAGATGCTATTGGAAAGAATATATCGAATTGAACTTTTCATTATAAAATAATCAAAAGTTGATATAAAGATCAATCAACAGTTTAGAACTGCTCTGTATTATTAAAGATTATAATCTTTTTCTTTGTAAGTATACGACTTTATATTAATATTATAGGTGTAAATTCTTTAACATTCTATCGCAAAACTAAACTGAATCACTTTCCTTTTTAAATATATTTTTTTCTTTGTGGCTTTCTTAGTTTAAATTTTCTGTGACATATTTTTTATATTATTATATTCCAATTTATGTATTACTATTTCTTATCATACAACAATGAGAATTTTCTATGAAACGACAATTATTAAACACTAATTAAGTCATTTAACAATTACTGGTGTTGCAGCAAAAAGGTTTTCCTTGTACTCGATAGTTTCAATAAATTAATTCGCAGATTATTCAATTTCTTACTAATTATGATATAGATAAATATTTTCTTTAAAAATACAGGTATAATTATAATAAATTACATAGTTATAATTATAATAATTTTCAATATAAAAAAAATTATCAGGCAAAAAACATATAACAAAAAAATTGTAAAAATATTGCGCTTTCGTCTTAATAAACGATTATAAGGTAAAAATATTATTAAAAATACATAGATTGAATTAGAAATCACACAATTAAATAATTTAATTGGAATTTCTAGATAGTTCTATTGATATTTCTTGCCATTTTTATGCTTGATTAACATAAAAGCACTGCAATACTTAACACAAATAACCCTTTAATTATCGATATATTCAAATAGTGTGTTGTAATTAGTGTGTCAAGGAAAATTTGTTATAGGCCAAATTATGAATAGTAATATTATGAATGTGTACATACATAAATATTCGTAATATTTATTTTATTTTATTCATTTTGTTCAATGGACACTAAAATTGTATGTAAAAAAAATCAGCACATACTTTTTAAAAGCTATAACCAATAGCTATATAATAAAAATATGTTTATTAATCCTTATTAAGTAATGGCAATCGCGTCACAAACCAAGTATCGGAATAAATACGTGACAAAATAAAAGCTTCCGAATAAACACTTCACAGCAACCTGCTACATCAACATCGTGCTGCCATTAAAATAAATACGATGACTTATCAATGTAATTTATTGCCTACATTTTAAATTTTAATGCATTTTTATCAATGAGAATACTTTTAAGCGTGCAGTTTAACCTATGCTGTAATTTCCAGTTACATTATCCGTCCCCTATATTATTAAAAGTTACTAGAAAATAGCGAATACCGAAAACCGGTTATAGATTCTAATATTTTATCTAGTATAACCATTTAATAGCGCACCCTTGACTGGCTCGAGGTCAGATAGTAACGTCTATTGGAATCGGGTTAGAATTTTAAGTAGATATTGTTACCAACCAGGAAAATATATTATATTATTGACATGAAAAGTACGTTTGAAATATTCTGTGTGGTATTAATTGTATGCCAAACACAATTATTGCATTATGACACTACATACGAAACGTTCCCCGTTTCTCATTAATTCAATAAGCTACTTTAAAACTATAATTTGGGAATACTTGATTATGAAAAACTGTTAACGTTTAGTAGTATGATGAAGCAAATTTAGCGTAAGGATTCTTTTAAATGAAACTAATATTATTCGGATGTACTACACTATTGTATTTTTGATTAAAAAACTACATATTCCCAAAAATGTGGAATGCTTCACGATATTGCGTAAGCATTTTGTTAAATTAATAATGTTATATTGCCTTTACAAATATTAATATCAAATCCAGATCGTTATTGTCTTTGTTTTACGTTGATTTTACGTTGATACTATTCTTGAATATAAAATATTTTACAGAATATCTAAATTATTGGAGAAATTAAACTGTTTGTTATTAATACAAGCATAATATAATGTAAGGCTTGGATATAAGTTAATATATGTTTTAATTATTTTCAGCCGTGTGTGGTCTTATGTTGGGGACGAGGTTGGGTTTCCTTGAGCGTTGGATGTCAGGGAGGGCTGCTGCTCTGGCTGCAGCAGTGAAAGCGCATTTCAGAGCTCAAAGGGATTCCTACTACGGCGCCCCCTTGTGGAAGTTTGCCCCGACGTCCTTATATAAAACGTTTGTGAGGAGCGAAGAGACGATACATATGTGAGTATATACCTTTATCTGCTGAGAATTATTCATCATAATGAAACTACTCAATAATCATTTCAATATGTTGGTATTAAGTTTGTTCGCTAGTTAGTATGTTTTGTTAATACAAGCGTTCAAGTTTTACCTTCGCTTGAAGTTTAAGAACACTAACTGATGTTATAATAACAAAGACTGGATTACAAAACTACAAAGTATACTACGCTTATTGTAATATCTCTGAGAGCAGAATCGAATGGTTTTCTTTCTGAAGTCGTGTAAGATAACGTATTTATTTTAAACAAACTTTTCTCAAACTTAATTCGCCTCGTATGAATAAAATACTCAGATATGTGATATAATAAGGTGTAACACGTCAGGATAGTATCTGAACTGATGGAGGAGGCCCGCCTTCGGTCACGAGGGGCGGCTCAAGACGATCCTCTACAGGAGATCTTCCTCAAGATACTCGCGAACCCTGAACTGGACATGAGAGACAAGAAGGCCGCTATCATAGATTTTATAACCGCTGGTATTGATACGGTATGAAGATCCAATACTTTTGATGATAAACTACTTTTTTGCTAAACCACTGCACTTGTTTGCACATTAATTTGCTGACTGTAGATTGTTCGATCTCTTTGTATATAAAAATATATTTTCCAAGTTGTTTATAGAAATACGTTGTTTCGTATGAAGTCTTCATATGATTTATTTAAATAAATATTTAAAAGTTAGTTCAGTACAAAATTTTCCTACATTACAATCATTTAAAATTTCAATTCAGGAATAATATAAATAACTGATGACAAAGAAAAAGTCGAAAGTATATGAATGTAAAAAGTTTGTCGTAGCTCGCGAACAGTTTGGTGTTCCTTCTATACTTGCTGAGCGGTCGCGTGGATTGGCAGCAGAGGATCCGTTCAGAACTGCCGGCTTGTGGGGAGCTGCGTATTGAGGAGCTGTCTTCAGCGCCGTCAGTGAGGGCCGCGATCAATGAAGCATTCAGACTTTTACCCACCGCGCCCTTTCTGGCTAGACTGTTGGACGCGCCGATGACGATTGGAGATTACAGGCTGCCAGCTGGGGTAAGGTTGTTATGGTTTTATATGTAATAATATTATTAAAAGGCACTTATAGAAATTATCCTCATGGATATATTTTCGTGGTTGGTAAGGCGTATCGAATGTGTGTGTTTGGGTTTTGTTTAAGTTTTCAATAGAGTGTCTTAAACTTTCTAAGTGTATATAATTCGAAGTATGTAATTCATATTCTGGTTTAATAGCGTATATATAACAAAATATGAATTGTGAGCAAGTACTTTTATTGTTAAATTAAAAAAATATGAGACTAAATTACATAGCAAAGCCTTTTTATATGGAAACAACGATCATAGGTGATGGCAATATTAAGTTCACTAGTTGGTTACGTCCTCAGACGTTCGTGTTAGCTCACACTGGCGCGGCGTGCAGGCGTGAGGAGAACTTCTACCGCGCTGGAGACTTCCTTCCTGAGCGATGGGTGGAGCCACGCGAGCCTCACGCACCCGGGCTACTGGCGCCATTTGGAAGAGGACGTAGAATGTGTCCCGGGAAGCGGTTCGTTGAAATGCAGCTGCACTTGATACTGGCCAAGGTGGGTTCGGTTTATGGAATATGTTATGGAAGTTTTACATGTTTTTTTTTATGTTAAAGGTGGCTAACGAGCAGACGGTCCACTTGATGGAAGGTTACCGTCGCCCATGGACATCCGCAACACCTTTGTTGCGGATGCGTTGCCAACCTTGTTTTTTAGGGATAGGGAGGGGTGAGAGTAAGGAAATGGTAGGAAGGGGTAGGAATAGGGCAAGGACAACCGGCTCTCTCACTCATCGGACGACACGCAGCCATTAAAGGCTACTTCACGCCGATCTTCAGTGAGTAACATAAAAAAAACATGAGTTTGTAGAGCCTAGGTGTGGTCAAGTTACTACAGTTCGACCGGAGTCCTACCCTTTAACGGAAAATCGGCGTTAAGTAACCTTTTATGGCTGATTTTCGTCCGATGAGTGGGAGAGCCGGTTACCCTTTATGTTGTTCCCACCCTTTCCTGCCATCTCCTTATTACTATCCCTCCCTCTTCCTCAACAATCAAGGTTGGCACCGCGTATCCAATATAAGATATGGTCCAGTATCCAATATAAGATATGGTCCATGGGTGACGGTCACTACTGGCGATCAAGTAGGCCGTCTGCTCGTTTGCCATCTTTGATATAAAACAGAACTGAGGTGATGACTACCTTAGAACTCTAATAAAACTTTATTGAATATCTTTGGTTCGAAATATGTAAATATAGAAATGAGCTGGATACTTATTTGGAAGTTAAATATCAGCTAAGTCATCGAAAGCAGTTAGGCCTGCTTAAAATAGCTTTGTTTTGTGAACATTGCTTTGCTCTTAATTTTAATCAATATCTGATGATTCCACTATATTTAGTAGTTATATTAATCGTTTCTAGATCATCCAACATTGGCGCGTGGAGTTCGATGGTGAGTTGGACATACAGTTTGATTTTCTTCTATCACCAAAGTCTCCCGTGTCTCTGCGGCTAGTCGACTGGTGAGCGAGGGAGGCGATTGTCTTTAACTTGCTCCACATTATATTTTGCTCCAAACTTATGCTCATTGTACTGATTATTTTGTAATAATGCATTATTTGATAAGATTATTGTAACGTGTTAAGCAATTTTTTGGCTCATTCCATTTATTGGTATTCAAGCTTGTTAAGCTGTTTATTGATTTGTACTTTTTATAACGATGGTAATCATTGAGTGTTTTACCAACAATGAAAAGAGTAATTTGTCACGATAGAAGCCCCTAAATGTTTTTGATTTAAAACTGTTTCTAAAGTAGTAAATAATCCACAATGTTGGTAGATTTGTTAACCACATACTTAGATAAATGCAGAAAGCTTTGTTGATTTTGAAAAATGGTGTCAGGAGTAAGACATTTTGTACGTAAAAAAGCCAGCACTGATTTTTTTCTCTATCTACAAAATCATTTCATTGTGAAATAGATAATAGTCACAATTATATACCTAATAATGATTTGAATATTTTGTAAATCACCGTTGTTTTGATGAACACTCAATGAACCATCATTTTAAGATATATACATATGAACCAGGTTTTATATCTTTGTATGGAGAGTATATAAAGGGTTGCCATGACTGAAATTCAATAGTAGGAAAAAGTATGACAGGGTATTGGCACAGTCCGCTCAATGTACACTTATATTCAATTTTGAATGAAATATTTGAACAATATTAAATAGTTAAGTATTTTGTTATAACATAACTCTAGGCTTAGTTTGTAACTTTACAACGTAGTAAAATATGGCTGTGTTAATATCAAAAAGCATATTTATATAATTATTATCAACCATAAATACCTCTTTAAAAGACTGCATACTGCAAGCCACATATTGTCAGCTGATAATTAATTTTTTACACCGGGCAGTGTGAAAATAGTTTTTAGTCTTAGTTTACGTTTTTTTGCGGGTCGTTGATAGAAATTTTTGATACATTTGTTATGATTGCACCATTTTAGATTTATTTTCAACTAGCAAGTAACAAGGAATGTAGTTGTCTATGCTCTTAGTGGATCCCAAATTACGATAAAAATATTGACGACCCCATTTTCATTCCACCTTTAATATTAATCACATGTATTATGTATACAGGGCTCCGTATTTTATGTTGAAGGTTTAACCAAACATAATTTCGAAGTGGCCATTTCCTATTATTAATTTATTGTTTACGTATTACACAATCATAATTAAGTTTTAATTTGTTACATTTTGTATAACATAACAATAAAGTATATTATCTAATTGTAACATAGGATAAAAAATATACAGGGTGACTGGTGAATTACTATCGATACTTGAGGACGTGATATTTGACGATCATATATGACAAAATAAAAATTAATATAACATAAATATGAATGAACTTCTGAGTAAAGTTAACCAAAAGTTATGTAATTAATTACGCATCGTGTGGACACTCTAGCTGCGTTATCGACACATAACAGTTATGTAGGTAGGTACATTTAGTTATCGCGCGGTAGTTTACCTACATCCAAACGCCCCGCGCCGCCGCGTGTTAACAGGGTAACAGGCTACCTTAGATAAACAAAAATGATTCAATTCCCTTCATACTTTAATCCTGGCTTAGGACAAGCAAAAATACCAAGATATTTCATTCGTTTAAGCAACCAATTTATTGACTAGGTAAATGGTGTGAACTTGACACAAAAAATAATATGAACTGTTTACCTATCTTGGTATTTCCGGCGTATTAAAAAATTAAATCATACTTATTTACAACAATTGTCAATCATTAAACTACCTATTTACCTACATAACTACACTAATCTTAACAAATGTTCAAAGCGAGCTCCTTCTCGTGTGATACACAGTTCGGCACGTTTACGCATATTGTCTTTCACACGATTTAATACGAATGGGTCACTTTTAATAGTTTCGAAAGCACTTGTGATTTTTAATTTCAACTCCTCTCTGTTGACATACTCTGTAGCATACACAAGACGTTTTACCTCCCCCCATAAATAGAAGGCCAGTGGAGTGAGATCTGGAGAGCGAGCTGGCCATGGCACAGGCCCTCCGCGCCCTATCCAGCGATCTCCAAACGTATTGTTTAAGTACTCGCGTACCTGCGTCTGATAGTGCGCGGGTGCTGCGTCGTGTTGATAAAATAAGTTTTGGAGATTGCTCAGTGGTACATCATCGAGCATGTCATTCACCGCACTGTTTAAAATGTCTAAGTATGACACAGCATTGAGTCTTCCTTCGATGAAATACGGCCCTAACAAACAGTTATTTAAAACACCAGCCCACACGTTAACACTAAACCTGTGTTGATAAGCGTCCTGTCGCGTATTTTCATTGTGTAAGTTAAAAATACCTAACTTAGTAAACGTAGCTTCGTCCGTGAACAATATGTTTTTGTCAGTGTTTTGCAAAAACCACCGACAAAAATTTATTCGTAGCTCATGATCGTTGGCACTGAGTTCTTGAATAGGTCGAAAATTATTAGGGTGTAGCCCTTCTTTGTGAAGTAGATTCCACACAGTCCACTGAGATACACCAAATCTTCTAGCAGCCTTTCGAGTACTTGCTACTGGGTTGTTCTCAAAATACTCGAGAATGTCTTCTTGTAGGAAGGCAGGGTGTGCTGCTCCACCTCGTCCTTGGGCATGTGTTGGAACACGGAACTGTCCGAAGTCTCGTAATCTTTGATTAGTGTTTAAGATGACGCTGGCCGTAGGTACTCGACGATTGGGGAACATCTCCCGGTACAAATTGATTGCGCCCGGCAAGCTATCATTTGCACGCGCATACATACGAACCATGTCCAAGTATTCTGTATTTGTGTATTGATAAGCCATACTTAATTACTAATAAGTAATAACGGGTCACATTCACACACGACAGATTAGGTATACGCGTAAGATCGATCGCTAGGCGCGCGCGCGGGAAGACAGACGTACAGACCTTACGGCGGCGCTCGCCCGACTAATTAGCCACGGGGCGGGGGTTGGGGGTAGCGACACACGCCGCACGCGCCGCCGGCAAGGCTGGGAACGTGTCCACACTTTATTTATCTATACGGAAATTTGGTCAAAAATTAAGTACCTTTTTTTTACATAATTCGAATGAGAATCATGAACCGAGTATTCTCCTTAAATATTGATAGTAATTAACCAGTCACCTGTATAAGGTGTTTTCAAAGTTTTTGTTTTTGATTTTGTTTTTTTGTATCTATGCCCATATTACATATTTTAACACAAGTTAAGCATTGAAGCATTATAGAACATTTATGTACTTTACTCATAAGTGTAAAGGTCCAACAAACTATGTGACTTTTATATTGCATATTGCAGAGTAAAATTAAGTGACTGTAAAACACATTATACCTATAATCAGCTAAAATGTATTTTAAAATGCCCAAATGTTTATATTAAAGAAAAATTAAAATATTTAGCCGTGTTTTATTTTGTTGAGCAATATGATTCCTGTTTGCTGTGTCCTTGGTACATTTTAATATCCTTAACTTATCTAAACATTATGCTCTAGAGACTTGAGTGTACTCTATGAAAGATAAGAATTAGCTTGGCTGTATGTACAGCTTTCATCATTATTTTAAAATAAAAAATAATTTCTTTCAAGGACATACGTCCCTATCTACCGTGGTTTTATTATCTTATCAAGAACGTTGGTCAAATTGTTCGATACTTTTTTAAAAGAAAGTATTTTTTTAATAATATTTTTTATTCTATAGTTTAACTTTTTTTTAAATAAAGTGTTGTTTTAATCAAACCCAACACACTATTAACAAACCTTTTCGTTGAACAAAATAACATGCATACTTTTTCCAATATTAATATCAGAACTCAATATGTATCATAATATTTATAATACAATTTTCATATAATAGTTTTAAACCTCATATGTGTATAGTTTTTGGTAGCCTCATTCAGTGAAATGGAACGTTTTCAAAACCACAGTATTCAGTTGTTGTTACTGCCTGTGCTGTCATTTCTTTGATAAGAAGTTGATAATGTTATCGGAGTCTTATATAAACATTGAAAAACAACATTCGTTAGTTACATACAAAGAGCACTTCGCATTTGCATAGCAAATATTTTATACTTATTTATAGGAATAAATTAAAAAAATGAAGTTTTGTGCAAATCTTTCATTTATGTTTACGGAGACATCTAGTATTTTAGAGAGATACGCTTTGGCCAAAGAAGCCGGTTTCAAAGCTGTGGAAACCGGGTTTCCTTTTGGCAATACATTAGATCAAGTAAAACAAGCGAAGGAACAGGCTGGTATCGAACAAGTTTTGATCAATTTAAAAACGGGTATCTATGTGTTTATCTACTGTATGGTTTTTTTTACTTTAGATTTTTTTATATAAATATAATAATGATAATTACTAACTTATAGGAGATGTAACGAAGGGTCAATTAGGAGTCACTGCAGTACCCGGAAAAGAAAATGAGTTTAAAGAGAACTTGAACATTACAATTGATTATGCTAAAGCCGTTGGTGCCAAAAAAGTTCATATCATGGCCGGCAAATTAGAAAATGTGTGCTCAAAGAATTGGGAGATTTATGAGGACAACCTCAAATATGCTGCAAATATGTTAAAAACAGAGGGATTAATGGGTGTCATTGAACCAATAAATAGTCATTCAGTTCCTAATTATTTCTTAAATGATTTTAACAAAGGTATATCTGTTCTAAACAATTTCAAACTTAGATTTATTCTAAAAACATGTTGTTTATATTATACTAATTATTTCACACTTTTTAGCTGTGGAGATTATCAAAAGGATAGACAGTGATCATTTAAAGCTCCAGCTAGACATTTTTCATCTACAACATATTTGTGGAGATCTTTCATATAACATCAAAAATCTTATGCCTTATGTTGGTCATGTTCAGGTAATGTTAACCTATAATATCAAAAAAACAAACATAAAAAGTTATAAATACGTATATTGAATTGTAACTTTTTTCACCCAAGATGTAAAAATCATAGTATTGGTAAATTTCAAATATTGTTCAACAATTTCCAGATTGCTCAAGTACCTAGTCGAAATGAGCCAAATTCTGATGGGGAAATTAACTACAAGTATATACTAAATCATTTAGAAAGATGTGGCTACTCAGATTGGATTGGCCTAGAATATAAACCTGCTGGGAACACAAAAGATGGACTTAAATGGATCAAGGAGTTTGGATACGCTTTATAATCTATCATGAACGATAATCTGTGAAAAATAAAATTATGGAAAGGAATAAATGACTATGACTTGTATAAGATTATTATTATTTTAATAATATTACAAATTATATGCAATTTTAAAGTGATCTATACATTATTGCTATTCTGGAATTGTTGCACCCAGTAATGCTTCTTGACTCCATCAAGTGACAATCTTTCTTTGCTTGTGTGTTTCAGAAGCTGAAATGTATAAAATCATAAATGAGAATATTTTAAGACTGCAAATTTTTTGTGGCGCCTGAAGTATTTATAATATTAATTATAGGCTAACATTATAAAATCAATTTTTGTTCATTGACTAAGTATATTAAATTAATGCAAACTGTCTCTGAAAAACAATTCCCATAAACATTACAACATAAAAATCACAAATATTAAACTTCATGTAACGTCACTCGATTTAAAGACAAACTCTCTAAAGCGTCGAAACCATTTGACTTTGGTTGGCTTAGCTTGTCTACCATACAATGAATACACTATACATAGCATTACACCCACTCTCAATAACGACAACAATTAAGTTATAAAAAGTACCTTTTAAGTTGCTAAAATTAGTAAGAACTGAGCAGCAGTGTACTTTCTTTTATCACTTTGTTATCCTAGCCCGCAATAAACTCGACTGTTGGAATCATGGATACCGAACTTTCTAAGAACCCTCAATATTGCAAGATATAAAATAAGTAAAAAAATACAACAACATTACTGGTGCAGCAAAAGACGTCAAACAAAAATAATAGCCTATACGCAATTGCGTTCGAATAACATTATTTTTTATGTACAGAAGTGCTAACACTAGTCTGAAATATACTTTGTATTTTTCTAATCCTGATTTTTCTTCTCTCTATTTAACGATAACTCTCTATAACGCCATAAAATGCACAGTCCCTCCAGTATCGTTATATAGAGCTTACACTGTATATGGTAAACAATGTGGTGGATTTATTAGCAGAAGAAATTATCTACTTCTTTACATAAATTACCTTTGAAATAAGATCTTTGGCTCCATCAGGTACATATTCTGGATATGTCATATCTAAAGCTAGGATTCTGGCATACGTCCTGTCCTGTCCGTCACTCTCAAATGGTGGTTTTCCTACTAGGAACTCATAAAGTAATACCCCGATACACCAATGGTCTACTGATACATCATATACTTCTCGTCTTATCATCTCCGGTGGGAGATAGTCAAGTGTTCCACACATCGTCTTTCGTCTGTGAAAAGATGATGATATTTAAGCATATTATTTAATAAGAAAATTTAGAAGTTTCTCAAACTATATTGTTAAGCAATAGTAAAACAAAATAGACTTTTCAAATAACATTAGTTTATAACATCAAAATTAACACAAATCTCTAGTTTTTCATATGAGCTATGAAGAATAAGGGTGGCTTTTACAAATACAGCTTATATTGGGTAGTGTAATAATATATTTTTGTATATGCTAACTTAAGAAGCTAATCATGGAAATACATATTCCAGGAGTGTTTAACACAAAATTGTTACATGGGTATATTATTTATATAACAAGAGTTATTTGTTGCATTTATGGTATTTCTTTTTCTCATATTTAGTTACCAGCTTAATAGAATATCAAGTTTGTAAAAATTCATAAAATCATGTATAAAAATTAGTTAGTGAAACATTTATAAATGAATCTACAAATTTTTGGTTTAGCTTCATAATATAGTATTATAGTAATGGTGCTTATCTGAGTCTAGGATTTACCGTTCAGAAGGTGCGTGAACTGACCAACCAAAATCAGCTAGTTTCAGGTCACCATTGAAAGCGACTAAAATATTTTCTGGCTTAATATCTCGATGTATCACATGGTGTCGATGGCAGTATTCAACTGCATCTGCAACCTAATTAAGAGACTTTGTAATACAAGAAACTTGCATATATAAAGATAATTGATTAATTTGAGGTCTCTCTGACCTGATAAATATATCTGGCAGCTTTGCTTTCTGGAAAGCGACCTTTTGGTGAATTTGTCAAGTGTTTGTATAATTCTCCACCCGCAGCGAATTCAACTACAAGGTAGATTCGTCGTTCGTCATGGAACCATGTCAACAAACGTAGGATATTTGGATGTCTAGAACACAAAGTCAATGTAAATATTTACTGTATCATCATATAATTTAAAAATTTTAATCCACGGAACTTACTTTAAATGTGATTGAATCTCTATTTCTCGCATAACTTGTCGTTCACATCTGGATTTCATAATTTGAGACTTAAATAGTGCTTTAATAGCAACTAAATAACCCGTTTTTTTTTCTCTGGCTACGTGAACATGTCCAAACTTGCCTTGCCCTAGAGCTGAACCAAGTTCGAAATCTCTAGGCGACCACCGGTAACTAAAATGAGCAAAGTAACTATTATTGTCCATATAAACTCTACGAATTTTTTTTTAAACTGATACATACGAGTTTCCGTAAGCTTCATGATTTGTGATATTTCGTTCAAGTTCCGTCACTTCATGTATATAGTTTTTAACTTCCATTTTAATTGTTAAGTCAAGTATAAATGTATAATTATTTTCTTTTCACAACAAATTCAAAACTTTTCAAGCTCGTCCGTTATAGTTTGACAACACCTTTGAATTTACAAAACATGCCAATCAAACAGATAAAAAATAAGATCACAGTCTGTGTCTGTGACCACATAGGTTAAAAATATTCTAAGTTTTTGGTGAGAAGTTGTGTGGAGTAGTGATACAATATATATATATTATTATTGTATTTCATTAAAATATATTTAACCATAATTTTTGATTATTTTTCAAAAACATTGATCACGGACAGATAAAAAGAAATACACATAGTCAGATACTAACAGAGTATAGAATCTAATGAAATTAAAAGAACCCTTAAAATTTGTCTAGAAAACATAAGTAAATTTAAGGCTCAAAGTGATAAGATGGATTAAAAAGTCACAGAAATATATATGTAGAATCAAAATAAAGTAGAATAAAAAGAAATTATTTAACCTAAACAATGAAATATGAATTATATAAAAATATTTATATTGAGGTAACTAATTATATTGAGGTAACATGATACAGCTACATATATAAAGTCATCTATTAAATTAAGATTATTTTGTCATTTATAAACCTTAGTTTTTAAATGGAGCGAGTTCTTATTGTTATATAATGTATCAGATAGAAATAGCAAAAAGTGCCTTAAAAAGTATGGGCTTCTCCATTATAAAAGTTCAATATTCAGTTCTTTTTCTCCAAAACTTTTCACAATACCTTACAAATATCATTACCTTATCTACAGGTTACCTTATACTTCGTTTAAGGATTTGCGGTCTCACCTGGATAGATCCACAACCATATCAATTATGCTTCAGGTATGGACTGCTCACTGCCACTTTCGTTTGTTTGTCTATTGAGCTAAGTTCTTGATTAGTATTTTTTTCCAGATTTGATTTCTAAGAGAAACTCTTAACATAGCCCTTTCCTTAGCTAGTTGACTGCCATGAAAGAAGTGGATAAGCTTCACAGGGAGATTTTTTTGGCTACTTTCCTACTCGTTACGTTATGCTAATAGGGTGATTTGATTGCCAAACTCCATTTTTAATTTTTGTAGAATGGGCAACTTGAAATTACCAAACACCGCTTATTAATCTTCTTGTTAATAGTGTGTGAATCTAGTTGTAGCACCTATAAGGGAAACTTCAATCCTATCGGTTTCTTGATCGTCACTTTAATTTTACGCAAAGACGATTCGCTGAGTCTAAATAACCAAACTGTTTAATAGCTATTGTAAAATCTGTAACATTTTAGACATTATCGTAATGTGGTTTACAAATCGCAAGTGCGATAAGTTTGTATTGATACAACAATATCTTCACTCCAGCGCAGTGGACACACTAAATCGAATTGCTCAACAATTTCTGAGAAGTAGCAATTCACAGCTCAGTAGTATAGCCTCAGTTATGGTTCTGGATTTGGACAGTGATATTTTCATCTTTGTAATGTCATTTCATCTCAGAAATTCTAAACAGACAGTTTTTACTTGTCCAAGACCAAACAAGAATTACTAATTAATAGTTAAATTATTTAAATAAAATAACCAATTATTGCAAAGATTCTAGAAGTTGCAACTGTAACAGATTTGAAAAGCTTTAAAGAATAAAGGAGCCTTTTACAAATACGGTTAATATTAGGTATTAATATATTTTCTCATATGCTAATTTAATTTAAGAAACTAAACATAGTAATACATTTTCCAGGAGTGTTTAACACAACATATTTTTACATTTATACATTATTTATATGACAAGAGCAAATTCACATTTACCTATAGTATTTCTTTTTCTCATATTTTTGTAACTAAATAGAATATCGAGTCACGATACTTGTTAAGAAACAAAGCGACTATGAAAGTGAAATATGAAGTTTATTTGCTGTTAATATTTCTTATGTACATATTATTGTCGTTTATTATGTAGAAGGCTTTTTATTCTTAATAGGCAATCAAAACTTTCGCATCATTCAAGATCAGCTAAGCGTGAGAAGAGATAAAGTTTTTTAAATAATTTATGTTACATTGTATTATTGCTAAACTTAAAAACCATAAATTTGTATGATAGAGAAAGTGTTTGATAGTTTATTAGATTGTTTTTCATAATTATATCACTTTGATTGTATTGGAAACGATTTAAATTCTAGCCTATTATAGATTTCTTCATTTATTAAAGCATTTTTTAATAGAAGCGGTTAATTCAATATAGTAGAATTGTAAGTATACGAATAAGTAGATGAGAAATGGTAAGTATAACTTCGTACGTTCGTCTGACGGATCAATTAAAACCTAGTAACTTAGATTGCTAGCACTTAACATTATTTCCTCGCTGTTAAATGTGTTTCCACTAGTATTTAGCAGCAAGTAATAACGTAAGACATTCGATCGCAAATAGATTATCTGCATATGCAATTTTGACATTTGACATATGTAATTTTGACATTTTTTGACATAACTCATAATAAAGCACATATCATTTAGTCTTATGTAAATAAGGACATTAGTCCCAGTTAATATTTTCTTGTTCAAACACTACGTTATTAAGTAAGCTAATACTTTTCACTAACTAACTAACACTAACAAACTATTCGTAATAATTTTAATGAGTTATTTAAAATTTGTCGATATAGCTATTTGTTCTATATGACTTTAATATAGATAGTGAAAGTAATTAAAGTTATATCAATATAAATCTGCTACATTTATTACTTAACGTAGTCCGGGGTAGTCCCCTTGCATAGGGTACGAGATACCCTCGAGTGTTTTCACAACAACCACTGCATTGGGAGCGATAAGTATGCTTTCACTCCCACTCATACTTCGCAATTTAAACTTCACTTGACGTAGCGAATGGCCGTTTAATTGTGTCTATCATCGAATTATACAAACAATTAATTTTAAAATAAGAAACTAGAAAAAAAAGAAGAACATAGCAGTCGGATACATAATTTAACCAATATAACTTACTAGTCACATAGTTTTTATATAATTTATTTGTATTATATTAACGCCATATTTTTTTTCTCTAAATATGGTGCTTAATGACCATCCATATCGATAAAAATATAATAAAGAGTCTGCATTTAATATTTAATAATGTAATACGACTGAAAACACACTATTAAAATGCCATTAGAGCATAGTGTGTAGTGGTGTCATATGTACATATATATGTATGTATAGATATATATTTAATTTTGGATAATTCTTTATCTAACATCAAATATTCCATTTAATTGTCAGAAATAAAATCACGTTTTTAATCACTGTATAAATATTAATTTAATTTTAATGAAAATAATACTTATTGTATTGATAACAGACGAAATATTTAAAAATCATACAAAAAGTGTTGCTGGCTGGTAACACGACTATTACGGCACCACTTCTTATGTTTCCGAATCACCCCTAGTGGCGGGAAAACAAGGAAAACGCGCGCACCCCGGCGTCATTCTGTCACAGACCGCGCGGCCGCGCGCCGCTCAATCAATATAAGGTTTATTACAACAATTCCAATATAAATTCATATAAAATTCTTCCATTTTAATATATAAAACTGTATGTTAATAGTGATATTTTAAATAGAGCTTCGTTTCATTTAATATCTGTAGACGAGTGTGCTGTAAATTGTATTAGCGTGAATAAGTGCGTCGCAGAACCGTTTAGAAGGGAGGTAAGTAATTCATAGGTAATTATTGGCACGTTATGATGACCTACTTTATACTACGACTTTACTAGTTTAAATCAGTTTATATTAGTCTTGACTTAAAAAAGTACGTACTTTTGTACGTACGTACGTGATTAAACGAAATATTTTTAGTAGATTAATATTTTTAGTAGATTAATATAAATTTTGAAAACTTTAATCATGATTATATGTACATAACATTATTTTCCCATCTGAAGCGTTTAAATGAAAATGTTTTTCATTTATCAATTTCCGTACTTTTCAAATCTTAGTTGTTAATGAGTGGTTAAATTGTAGTAATAGTAATTTCAAATAGTAGTAAAAGTATGTATTAGTAATTTTGAGTACGTGTTACGTGTAGATGTGGTCATTGACCTTGATCTCCCCTAAATGCCTACCAAATTCATTCCCCTTCAACGATCGCGGGGCGGAGATGAGTCTTAGAAGACGTTGATACATTAAATTACATTCCTTCCCTCCACGAATTCGATTTTGTCTTTTATAAAATTAAAATTTATATATTTTAATACATATTACTTTATGAGATGACTGTCTCGAGATATATCTGAAGATATCCGTATATATATTTTTTCATCCGATGACAATTACAATTAAATAGATGGAATTATGGTTTGTAAATCCTTTCGAAATTTATGTATAAGAATATTTTAAAGTCAAATTATAAATACAGTTGAAGTTGAAGGTGTAGTATATTATTTAACACATAGGTAGTCTTTAATCATGGCGTTCTGTTTGCTTAGCAATATAACCGCCAGAGGAATGATGATGTTGGAGAAAAGCGATTATATGACCATATTTTATATTTAACATTAAAAACAATATATTTACTTTACTTTGACTATAAAAGTTTTATTCTAAATATTCATTAAGGAATACGTAATGATCTATTATAAAAAAAAATTAATGCAGTTTTAATAGTTACATAAGGTAATAGTAATGAAAAAGGACTAAAACCCGAGATATAAGGTCTTTCTAATATGTAATATATATTAATTAAAAATAATATATATTAATATTTAAGTGTAGTAAGTAAGAAATAATGATTTATTGTTACCCTACAGTTATCTGATGGTAGGGACACTTTCACTGGCACGCCCTGATCGTAAGATAACTCTTACCTTACAAGTACAAGTAATTACCAACCCAACTGTCCTACTAAGTTAAATGTGTTTTTAATGTCATATATACAGCATTATTAGTGTTAGACTGTGATTTCTACTGATATTATTACGCAAAAACACATATCTATTCAACTAATGA